GAAAGGGCACAGGGATTTATGCTGAGCGGGTGGCTAGGTATACATATTCAGCAGGTTACAGGAGGATCATGAATATTCATGAAGGGGAGGCACAGGCAGCTAACGTGTGCACAGTGCATCCCATGTTCACTGTGGGGGTGGAGTCTGAGCATTTACAAGTATTTTGATAATAAGTCAGGCCTTATTATCAAAAGGTGAAGCCAAGGACATGAAGGTCTCCACGTGCAGCTTCCATAGACCAGCCAGACGCATGCCATGGTTGGGGTCTCTTGTGAGGAAGGAATGCTGATTGCTTGTTGAAACCAAAAAAGGGAGAGCAGCTTCAGGCACATGATGGATATCAGGGATGGAGTCTTTTTAAAGGGCTGGTTTCTGTTTAGCCCTCAGGGAAGGAAGCCTGGTGGTGATACGGAGGGCAGAGGTAGCCAGGAGGGTCTGACCTTCATCCTGGCATGGTCCAAACTCGGTTTTAAGGTTTCTCTGGGGTCCTCTTGGTCAAGAGTGGGTCATTCAGTCAGTTGGGGGCTTCGGATTTTATTTTTCTCAGTGGACTTGCAAGTGAGTTTTCTCTGTTTTCCAAAATTGTTAATATTGCTTCTGACTTCTTATTTTGAAATTGTTATAAATTTGCAGAGAATTGCAAAGTGACAACAGAGAAATCTCATGTGTCCCTTACCCAGCAAGGCTTTCCCCTGGGGTTCCCTCTAGGTAATCACAAATGCCAATTATGGCAAAACCAGGAGATTGATATTGGAACAATGTGTGTGTCTAGCTTTATCGCATTTTACCTTGAGTACCACCTTTTACAACCTAAATAAAGAAAAAGCATGTAACCAACAAACAAGTTTACACACAGAGTAGCAAACATGTGGGCATGAAGGGAGCAGCCACCATCCAGGATGTGGGCAACCCCTGAGACCTGTGGACCACAGCCACTGTGAGGAACGCTCACATGGGATGTGGGCAGCCTCTGTGACCTGTAGACCACGGCCACTGTGAGGAACGCTCACATGGGATGTGGGCAGCCTCTGTGACCTGTGGACCACAGCCACCGTGAGGAACGCTCACATGGGATGTGGGCAGCCTCTGTGACCTGTGGGCCACAGCCACCGTGGGGAAAGCTCACATGGGATGTGGGCAGCCTCTGTGACCTGTGGACCACAGCCACCGTGAGGAATGCTCACATGGGATGTGGGCAGCCTCTGTGACCTGTAGACCACAGCCACTGTGAGGAACGCTCACATGGGATGTGAGCAGCCTCTGTGACCTGTAGACCACAGCCACCGTGGGGAAAGCTCACATGGGATGTGGGCATCCTCTGTGACCTGTGGACCATGGCCACTACGGGGAATGCTCTCACAGGATATGGGTGGCCCTGTGGCCCATGGATCATGGCCACTTTGGCAAATATTCACATGGGACGTGGGTGGCCTTTGTGTCCTGTGGACCATGGCCACTGTGGGGAACACTCACATGGGATGTGGTGGACCATGGCCCCTATGGCGAATATTCACACAGGACATGGGCAGCCTCTGTGACCTGAGGACCGTGGCCACTCTGGGGAACACTCACAATGGACATGGTGGCCCCTGTGACCTGTGGACTGTGGCCACTGTGGGGAAAGCTCACACGGGACGTGGGCAGCCTCTGTGACCTGTGAACTGTAGCCGCCATGGGAAACGCTGTCAGTAACCAAAGCCATTACACATCTGTGAAGATTCTGCGTGACATGGTGCTGTGCACAGGCAGGGCACGGTGAAGGTTTAAAATCACTGCTGGCCTGAAGATGAGGGTCTGTGATTGAGGATTCAGGAGAAGGGGCTGTGGATGTGGGTGGCAGGCACAGGTCAGTGGAGCAGAGAGTATGGCCACATGTTCCTGATGGGGCCTCTGGAGCAGGAGCAGGAGGAGCAGCTCCCAGAAGGAAGAGAAGCTCAGCTTATGTGGTCAGAGGTTTGTCAGAATGGAGCAAACACGGTGGGTTCAGGAGTATCTGAAGGAAGAGATCACGGCACGCGAGGCTCAGGACAGTGGCTCTAGAAAGCCCCAGTTGTCAGAGTTCACGGGGTACCAGGGGGAGCGGGTACTGCGGGAGCAGGTACAGGGGGTGAGGCAAGGTGACTGAGCTGAGCTTGCGAAGGTAACAGTGTGTTTGATGGCAGTTCTGGGTCACACCATGGATAGAAGCCTGCGGGACCACTGGACCCCACATCTCACACTTGTCCCTAGTGCCAGCTCAGACTAAAGAACGGGCTGCAGTGACTGGGGTGGAAGCCTCGACTCCAGGAATCTCAGACCCTCTGTAAGCTCAGGGAAACCCAGGGGCTCTCTCTCCAGGAGCACAAACTCACTCACACACCCCGAGACAGCTGAGTTTCAGGGAACCTGTGGCATCCCACCCAGGAAGCCCAGGAGCAGCACTGGAACCTCTGCAGAGAGTGGGATGTGGGGGGCAGTGGTGCCTGTGTAGGGCCCTTGCCCACTCAGTGTGTGTGGTAGGCTCTGAGAGTACTGGGGGGACTGAGTACTGGGGGGAGTGGGTACTGGAGGAGTGGGTACTAAGAGGAGTGGGTACTGAGGGGAGTGGGTACTAAGGAGAGTGGGTACTGAGGGGACTGGGTATTGAAGGGAGTGGGTATGGGGGAGTGGGTACTGGGGAAGCAGGTATGGGGGAGTGGGTACTGGGGGAGCAGGTACTGGGGGAGCGGGTACTGGGGGAGTGGGTACTGGGGGAGTGGGTTCTGGGGGAGCAAGTACTGGGGGGAGCAGGTACTGGGGGAGTGGGTACTAAGAGGAGTGGGTACTGAGGGGAGTGGGTACTGAAGGGACTGGGTATTGAGGGTATTGAGGGGAGCAAGCACTGGGGGAGTGGGTACTGGGAGCGGGTACTGGGGAGCGGGTACTAGGGGAAGTGGGTACTGGGGATAGCAAGCACTGGGGGGAGTGGGTATTGGGGCAGTGGGTACTGGGGGAGCGGGTACTGGGGGAAGTGGGTACTGGGGGAGCGGGTACTGGAGATGAACAAGCACTGGGGAAAGTGGGTATTGAGGCAGTGGGTACGGGGGGGGAGCGGGCCCCGGGAGGGAGCAAGCACTGGGGAGAGCAGGTACCAGGGGAGCGGGTATTGGGGTGAGTGGGTACTGGGGGGGAGCAGGTACTGAGGAGCAGTTACTGGGGGAAATGGGTACTAGAGGAGCAGGTATGGGGGGAGTGGATACTAGGGGGGTGTGGGTACTCGGGGGGAGTAGGCCTGGAGCAGTGGGTCACTGTGGGGAGCAGGTACTGTGGGAAGGAGGTACTAGGGGAAGTGGGTATTGGGGGAGCGGGTACTGGGGTGAGCGAGCACTGGGGAGAGCGGGTACTGGGGGTGGGTGCTAGGGGGAGTCAGCATCGGGGTAGTGGGTACTGGGGGGCGGGTACTGGGGGAGTCAGCATGGGGGGAGCGAGCACTGGGGAGAGCGGGGGTCCTGGGGGTGGCGGGTAGTTGCGGGGGGCGGGTAGTGGGGTGCGGGTACTGGGGGGAGTCAGCATGGGGGGAGTGGGCTCCTTTGTCATTCCTGCACTCTCTCTTTATTTTATTCTAATTTGCATTGCTTGACAGACAAATGCAAAAGTGCGTCAGTCCTAAGAAAAGCCTGCTTGCTTGTAAGAGTTCCTAATTTGCGTCTGGAAAGGGAAAACTACACAAAATTGCATTAGAATATGTGCATCAGCCCAGCCCAGGCTGCTCTTCATTCGGCCCATCTGAGGACCCCAGATGAGCCTTCTGTTGGTGGGAGGCTGGAGGTCAGGAGCAGCCCCATATATGGTTTGGCTCTTTGAGGAGGACCTCCATGGCCCAGGACAGACCATCGTGGGTGGGCTCAGCTGAAGAGGACCTCCGTGGCCCAGGACAGGCCATTGTGGGTGGGCTCAGCTAAAAAGGACCTCCATGGCCCAGGACGGGCCATCGTGGGTGGGCTTAGCTGATGATGACCTCCGTGGCCCAGGACAGGCCACTGTGGGTGGGCTCAGCTGAAAAGGACCTCCATGGCCCAGGACGGGCCATCGTGGGTGGGCTCAGCTGAAGAGGACCTCTGTGGCCCAGGACAGGCCACTGTGGGTGGGCTCAGCTGAAAAGGACCTCTGTGGCCCAGGATGGGCCCTCCGTGGGTGGGCTCAGCTTAAGAGGACCTCTGTGGCCCGGGATGGGCCCTCTGTGGGTGGGCTCAGCTGAAGAGGACCTCCATGGCCCAGGACAGGCCACTGTGGGTGGGCTCAGCTGAAAAGGACCTCCGTGGCCCAGGATGGGCCACTGTGGGTGGGCTCAGCTGAAGAGGACCTCCGTGGCCCAGAACGGGCCCTCCGTGGGTGGGCTCAGCTGAAAAAGACCTCCGTGGCCCAGGACGGGCCACTGTGGGTGGATTCAGCTGAAGAGGACCTCCGTGGCCCAGGATAGGCCACTGTGGGTGGGCTCAGCTGAAGAGGACCTCTGTGGCCCAGGCCAGGGCCTCTGTGGGCTTGGTTCTGTGACAAGGACCTCCATGGCCCTGGGATGGCCCCACTGTGGGGGGCCCAGCTGCACCCCACCAGCGTGCTTGCTACTTACTGCTCTTCTCACTCTTTCCCTGTTTTTCAAAAGTGAAGAAAAACACAAAATTACGTATTTTCGATATAATTAACTGCACTTGACATGTTGACAAATAGGAGTTCGTTATGAAACAGCATCTTTTCCTCCTGGATTTGGATGGCACACAGATTCCCAGTCGCACCGGCTCACGGGTGTCTTCTCAATACTTTCCTGTGCCTTAAAGGCAGGTGAGAGCTGTGCGATGTGGCAGTTGCTATAGCAACACATTCAATTTTTATTCAATATCAGAGTAAATAGTCACGTAAGATGAAATAAGTCATGTCTGCCTGTGGCAACGGCAGTCCCTGCTTCTCGACATGCCCCCCCACCCCTCCCCGTGCCCTTTTCCAACATTTTCAGCTGCATTTTTATAAAAATATGCATAATATAGATTTCAGTCGCAGAGACATGGCTTATTTTCTGAGGCGGGGACTCGGCGATATCTCCCACTGAATTCCGCAGGAGGAAGGAGGCCCACCTTGTGCCTGGGTCTTACTGGAGGGCAAGATTGTCCCTGCAGGTTCCCTTAGGAGCCTGGATCATGTGGGATCAGAAGTTCATTTCTATTTAAACAACTGAACTCTAGGGCTCCTCATAGATCCCTTGGTGTGTCATAGTTCAGAAACCCCTTTCAATGCTTCAACCCATCAGACTTGGAGTTACTCAAAGAGAATGATGGAAATTAACAGGATCCTGCACCCACCCAGAGCTCCTGTGCTCATCCAGAGCTCCTTCTGCCCCACCCAGAGCTCCTGTGCTCATCCAGAGCTCCTTCTGCACCACCTAGAGCTCCTGCCCCACCCAGAGCTCCTCCTGCACCACCCAGACCTCCTGCACCACCCAGAGTTCCTGCCCCACCCAGAGCTCCTCCTGCACCACCCAGAGCTCCTTCTGCACCCACCCAGAGCTCCTGCACCACCCAGAGGTCCTCCTAAACCCACCCAGAGCTCCTCCTGCCCCACCCAGAGCTCCTGTGCTCACCCAGAGCTCCTCCTGCCCCACCCAGAGCTCCTTCTGCTCCACCCAGAGCTCCTCCTGACCCACCCAGAGCTCCTCCTGCATCACCCAGAGCTCCTGCGCTCACCCAGAGCTCCTCCTGCACCACCCAGAGCTCCTCCTGCCCCATCCAGAGCTCCTGCACCCACCCAGAGCTCCTCCTGCCCTACCCAGAGCTCCTCCTGCCCCACCCAGAGCTCCTGCATCCACTCAGAGGTCCCCCTGCCCCACCCAGAGCTCCTCCTGCCCCACCCAGAGCTGCTCCTGCACCCACCCAGCAGTCCTCCTGCACCACCCAGAGCTCCTGCACCCACCCAGAGCTCCTCCTGCCCCATCCAGAGCTCCTGCACTCACCCAGAGCTCCTCCTGCCCCATCCAGAGCTCCTCACCCACCCAGAGCTCCTGCAGCAGCTTTCTATCAGAACAGCAGCAGCACAGTGGCAGCCATGGTTACAGGATGTTGCTCCCTCGCGGGGTCTGTTCCACACTTTACATGGGTGTCACCTCCCTTGTCCCCAGGAGGTGACACACTTCACAGAGGGGGAGACTGAGGCAGGAGAAGTGACCCAGAAGAACTGGCGGCTGGAGCCAGCTCCAGGCAGCCTGATGGGGCCAGGTCATACCCCCGACACCGACACCAAGCCCCACTCCAAGTCCCTTTCCTCACTGAGATTCCTGAAAGCTGAAATGTCCTCAGCTACATGGTGGCACAGTCACACCTGGCATACTCCATGAATATGAAATTTTTACCTGGCAAAGTTCATGAGGTACAGGTGGGAAACCCTAATTTTCAACCTTGGAACTGTGGTCCAGCTAGGGGCGTGGACGCTGATGAGCAGAGCTCAGAGGTGTGTCTGTCAGGAGAAACTCTCCTGCTGGGGCAGCAGGAGGAAGTCGGCTTGTTTCCAGCGTCAGATGGGTGCATCTGCGCACCCATCAGGGACCTGCCTTCTGAACACCGTGCCCCCCTTCTGCTCAGGTGCCTGTCTCTCCCTGGTGGGCATCAGGTGCCCTGGAGTGGTGAGGCCTGGGAGGCTGCCAGGAGCACTGTGTCTGATGCCCCCAGCCCAGGCCCACCCGTCCCTGGTGCTCTGTGGAGTGGAAGAACGAATGACAGGCGCGAGGGCAGCCATGCTCCTGAGACAGCGAACGTGGAGCCAAGCCCACACTGGTGGGGGCTGCCACTCAGGCAGCTAGAGCATTCTGGCATCACATTTTCCATGATCACTTAGGGCAGCCACCGAGCATCCAGCCCAACTCAGGTTCCCCTTTTGTCTGAGCCAATGGCCTCAAGCTACTCTGTATGGGGAAGAAAAAGCAGTGTCTTCTTTCCTGCCCTTCTGGGTTCTTAGTAGGGGTGGACTCCTGTTTAAAAAAGAGATTCACAAGAGAAAAACAAGCAAAGTGGATTCACATGTGCGCTGCACCCTCCCCCTGCCCCACCCACGTACCTGAGCCATACCCAGAGAAATGGGCCAGTCTCAAAGATGTGTGTGGACCAGCCTTCAGCACATCACCTGCTGGGACAGAGCAGTAAGAGCAATGGGGAGGGGGAGGGTCTGGCTGTGTCCCCGCCCAAATCTCACCTTACACTGTAGCTCCCACAATTCCCATGTGTCTTGGGAGGACCTTGGTGGGAGGCCATTGAGTCATGGGGTTGGCGTGTTCTGGTCTCTGAGAGTCATTTTTGGGGTGGTGTGTTCTGGTGTCTGAGAATCGTTTTTGGGGTGGCATGTTCTGGTCTCTGAGAGTCATTTTTGGGGTGGCGTGTTCTGGTCTTTGAGAGTTTTTGGGGTGGGGTGTTCTGGTCTCTGAGAGTCGTTTTTGGGGTGGCGTGTTCTGGTCTCAGAGTTGTTTTTGGGGTGGTGTGTTCTGGTCTCTGAGAGTTGTTTTTGGGGTGGCACGTTCTGGTCTCTGACAGTCGTTTTTGGGGTGGCATGTTCTGGTCTCTGAGAGTTGTTTTTGGGGTGGCGTGTTCTGGTCTCTGAGAATCGTTTTGGGGGTGGCATGTTCTGGTCTCTGAGAGTCATTTTTGGGGTGTATGTTCTGGTCTCCCAGAGTCGTTTTTGGGGTGGCATATTCTGGTCTCCAAAAATCATTTTTGGGGTGTATATTCTGGTCTCCAAGAGTCATTTTTGGGGTGGTGTGCTCCGGTCTCCCACGTGAGAAACTGATGGAGAGTGGAGGGCCCTAGACACTGGGCCCGGCAGCTCTAACGAAGTTCACAGGCACGAACTTTACCTTCGCTTTTATTTCTGTGAAACAAAGGATCTGTTAAAAGTCTAATTAAGGTTCTGTGTGTGCAAACCCTTTTCCTGAAGTGCCACTCTATTTTTTTTAATGAGAGCATAAACCAAAAAGAAAATCCTTAGAAGTAACTTTCTTCTGTTGACAAGCACTTGGACTCAACGTTCCGTGAACACAGCAAATCCTCTCCTTTCTCGTAGGCAGAGACGTGTCCTGGCCCTGAGGTTACAGGGGCTTGGCATCAGACGTCTGGCGTGTGCTGAGGGGGTGTGGCCGTGTTGACCACGTGAGTCCTCTCTGGCTGCCACAGCAGATGGGGGTGGGGTTATGTGGCAGACCTTCATATCTCACTCCTGGTGGCTGGAGTCCCAGGTCAAGGCGTGGGCAGGGCCGGTTTCTCCCAGGGCCTCTCTCCTGGGCTCTGGATGCCACCATCTCCTCTGGGTCCTTCATCCTCCCTCATCCCTCTGTGTCCACCTGTGTCCTCATCTCCTCTTCCTGCAAGGACGCCAGTCACCTGGGCTCAGGCCCACCCTAACCACCTCATTTACCTTAATGACTGCCGTAAATCCCCATGTCAAAATACAGTCACAGCCTGAAGTTCTGGGGTCAGCGCTTCCCATGGACATTTTGGAGAGACACAATTCAGCTCTAATACTGACTCTGTGAGTGTCTCATTGAACTCAGAGCACCTTTTTTCCATTAGTTCCCAACGATAGCAGTGGATCCAGCTTCAAAGGAAATAAATCTATGCCATTTCCTGCACCATGCCAAGCAGTAAGTTAACAAGTGAAAAATTCTACCAAGGCCATCAGGGTGAATGAATGAATGAATAAATACATGAATACAATTGAGCGTGAATTTTAGAAGCACAGTGGGATACTTTTGTCCAAAAACCTGTCAGATCCACAGTTCAGTCTGAGCCATCCAGCCATAGCAATAAAGTTAAAATTACCACGTGGTACAGATGTGTCCCCATCAATGATGCTCAGCATGGAGATGGCCGACTTGCCCCAGAGCTGGAGGAGGACGTGGCCGCATCTGCCCACGACTGGGTCCCTAGGGAGATTTCGCAGGGAGGGTGTGCAGGGTCCTCCTTCTGCCAATGGCACATGATGACTGAGACTCACCTCTCAGGAGCCGCTGGCACCCCCTCTAGCATGGGGATCCTAAAAAATTCTTGATGCTGAAGCAACGTCAGTCGTGTTGCAATTGTACTTCTTTGGCAAAGGGCTGTCTTTTCCTTCATGACAGATTTCCCTACGGAAGCCTTTTCATTTTGGTACCGGCAGGTACAGTAATGAGTCTATTTTAGAAATGTCAGTGGCGTTTTATGATGCGGCCATACCAGAGGCCCAGTGGTGAAGCTGCTGGTTTACAGTTCGTCTCTAAGTGAATGCAAACAAATCTGGTCCTCGGAGCCCTGCTAATACACAATGTTCAATTTTTAATTTCCAGTCCATCTTAGATTACGGGGATGAAAAACAACATTTAATCCCTCGTTAGCACATGAATAAGCGGAAGCTGTCATTTTCAACCACACAATAACGGGATTATCTCAAGAACTGTCAGTTTATGTGGAAACATTATGTTGCCCAAATTTTCATAAAAATTAGCAGTGGATAATATTCGAGATCAGAGCGATGGAAAGAGAAAAATATGCATTCATGGTAATAAATATTCATATTTGTCTGCTCGGGAGATGAAAATCTAATCAAGGGGCTATTGAAGCTCTGGCTTTTATTTTTTTAACCAAGACGTTTCATCTAAATTGGGTTTGATATGGAAATCAGTCTCACTCAAAGTCCTCCAGGCCACGAGCTCGCCGGGCTCACGCGGGGCGGGTGGCCACTTCGTCACATGTTGCTCCTGGCATGTGCCACCCGAGAGCAGCCTGGGTTCATCCTGTGGCTCTCCAGTTGGTGTCTCCAAGTTTAACACCACGGAGTGCTGGGAGCTCCCTCCCTTTTTAAAGGAAAAAACAATATGATTTCATGCCGGTTAACTCCCGGCTGCTATAGGGTTAAAATCATCTGTGTTTTTGCTTTTGTTGACAATTACCATAAATCAGAAGACACTCTGCATGGCGCTTAATGAAATATGTATGATTGTAAAAAGAAAAGATGGGAGCTGCAGGATGTTGCTCTGTGTGCGTGTGTGCACGTGTGCGTGCGTGCACATGTGTGTGTCGGGCGTGCGTGTTAGGGCGTGTGTTCCTGCTGTTCTCACAGAGGCCGTCCTTTCCCTACACATGGGCAGGCTTGAAAACACGGAATCCAGGAGCTCCTCAGTTAGTAAGCGTGGGTATGGGGTCATCACACTGATGCTTCCAGCCCCTTCCCAGTGTCCTAGGGTTGCCACTCTTGAGCACTGGCAGGGTCAGCATGGGGCTCCCTGGTGAGTGAGGTCTCCTGTGCACACAGGCCACCAGGAGGGTCACCTTTTCTAGCTTACACTTATAAATTCCTGGAAAGCAAGACCAAGATGGGCTCATCTGAGCCTTCAGAGGGAATGCGGGCAGGCCCTTCAGCGTAACAGAACCGGAACTCGGCCAAGTAGCCTTCTTTCTGCATTGAAATGCTTCCTACTGACATAAATGGGATTTTCCTTGGGGTGCTGTTAATTATGTCAGAGGATAGAGTGTTCATATTCACCACATTTTAAAACCACACCCCCATAGTTCCTGTTCCTCTTCTTCCCGGTCAAGCAGAGCTGATCATGGGACAATTTGATTATTTTGGCGAAGGCCCTGGAGTACATGGTTTCTGACGCGGACGTCTCTGGCACACGCCCTCCTCTCCTGTCTCTGCTGCTCCTGACTGCACAGGGCCCGTTCATGAGACCCAGCTCTGAGGCCCACAGGGAGGGTCGGCCCTTCCTCAGCACACTGTTAGGGACACCTTCTGCCCTACCCACCAAGACCCAGGGTCCAGAGACATGGCCTTCCTCTGTGTGATGTGGGTGGGGTGCACGGAGGGGAGGAGAGAGGACCCCAAGGAAACCTGGTGCCACACTAAGACCTGGGGTTCCCCAGGAAACCCTGGTGTCTCACTCAGACCTGGGGCCCCCAGGAAACCCTGGGCCTGCACTCAGACCTGGGACCCCTCAGGAAACCCTCGTGTCTCACTCAGACCTGGGGCCCCCCGAGGAAACCCTGGGCCTGCACTCCAACCTGGGGCCCCTCAGGAAACCGTGGTGTCTCACTCAGACCTGGGCCCCCCCCGCCCGAGGAAACCCTGGGGCTACACTCAGATCTCAGGTCCCTCCAGGGACTGTGGCATCCTACATCTTCCTCTTCGGGTAAAGGTGAGTGAGACCTCCCAGGGCAGTGAGGCCTGTTTCAGAACATCCTCCTCCTGGAGGCTGCCAAGATGCCTGTTCCTAGAGCTTCTGGCAACTCCCAGAGGCTCCCCCCTCCCACGACACCATGCTGGCACTGTCCCCAAGTGGCCACTGACAACCTCCCAGCAGCTGTTCGGACATTCCCTCTTAGAAAGTCCTCAGCCCTGGGGTGTGGGGGCCGTGTGAGGCCCCTTAGAGCACCACTCCCTCTGCCCCCGAGCCATCCTCACTCCTGGGGGGCCGTGTGGCCTCTCCCAGCCCCACTCATGAGTCGCTGGTCTTCCCGAGGCCACCCCGGGGACATGGTAGGTGCTGATCGCCCATCCGCCTGGCTTGGCGTCTGCACGTCTTCCTGGGAGAAACATCTTCTAGGGCCCTTTGCCCATGTGAGGAGCTGCCAAGGAAATGGATTGTTTGTGGTGGTGTTAGTATCTAACTGTGATGTTTTTCTAAGGAAAGGGATAATTTGCATAGGAAAAAATTCGTGAGGCTTTAGACACACCCACCCATCCTGTCTCCAGGCTCTGTCCTGGGACCCCTGCTGGTTCATTCAGTCTCCATGCGGGGAGTTCCCTTCCAGAAGAGTGGCCCGTCACCTCCGCCTCACCTCGGGGCCAGCAGAAATAGCAGGGGTTGGTTCCCAACCAGAGACCAAGAATGAAACAGGGCTTGGATGAGCGCCCCAGCACCCAGTCCACGGCCCAGGGCGTTGAGCCTCTCAGAGAGGACCACAGTGTTGGCCAGGATTCATGAATTCTGACAGCATCCGAGGAGCTGCAGCCTCCCCAGACCGAGACCGCCAGGAAAACGAGGCTGCTGCAGTGGCTGCTGCCAAGGCCGAGCTGCCCTGCTGACCCTCTGCAGCCCGTGCCCACCAGGGTGGGGCTCAGCCCCTTCTGACCCTAGGCCTGAGGTGCTGCCATCGTTGCGGCCACCAGGGGTCACACGTGCTCGCCTCTGGCACAGGCCACGCCCGTGATCAGGGCTGCACCCCCAGGAGGTGCCAGGTTGTGGGATGTAGAGGATGCAGGTGGGGGTGTGAAGAAGAGCTGGAGAGAGGCCTCGGAAGTGCCTGGAAGCATCTGCCTTCGGAATCACCCTGTCTGCTGGAATTGAGACCAGTAAAGGCCCCGGGGAAGGGGTGCCAGTGATGACTCATTTTCTAATATTGGGTCTGAATTGCAGCTTCCGCTGCCACCGCTTCAGAAAGATGCCATTGGGCCCGGAGCAAGGCTATCAGAAACTGCTGATAGGGTTCCTCCTGCCGTGAATACGGTGGCTGATGGGAGGAAGCCCTCGTGCGCTCCCTTGGCGCCCACGGAATGCCTGGAAACTCTCCAGGTTTCTCTTGTTTGAAGAACGAGCCCCCGAGAGGCTTCCCGGACAGTACAGTCTGGACCATGTCCAAGCCCTTTAGGAAAACTCTGCAGCAAAATTCAGCGTTTCCAAAATAGTGATGTCAGGGTGACCCGTGACACAGCCTGGGCTCTTCCTCCCAGGACAGTTCCCACACGGGTGCCAGACCATGCAGCCCCCAGGGCGTCTGTTTGCCGTGTGTGAGCACGAGTGTGCATGTGTGTCTGCGTGTGTGTGAGCACGAATGCTTGTGTGTCTGCATGTGTGTGATAACATGTGTGGGTGTCTGCGTGTCTGTGCATGAGCACGAGCGTGCATGTGTCTGCGTGTGTGTGCACTAGTGTGTGTGTCTGCATGTCTGTGTGCATGAACATGAGTGTGCTTGTGTGCGTGTGTCTGTGTGCATGAGCACTTATGTGTCTGCATGTGTGTGTGCTTGAGCATACGTGTGTGTGTGTCTGCCTGTGTCTGTGTGTGCACTAGTGTGCATGTGTCTGCATGGGTCTGTGTACGTGAGAACGAGTGTGTGTCTGCATGTGTCCGTGCGTGCGTATGCACGGTGTGTCTGCCTCTGCATGTTTGTGCATGTGCCTGGGTTACTCTGCTACCTGCCAGCAAACCCCAGCCCTGCCTTGTGCTGCTGGGTGGCACAGCCTTCTCTGTCCCCCTCCACTTCTTCCCAGACCCTGGAGCTGTCTGTGGAGCAAGTAGGAAGTTCCCCTACTGGTGAGAGGCCGTGCAGGGGACCCTGAAGCTTTGCTGAAATGAAAGTTCTAGTTAAGGGAAATAGGAGCTTCCTTGTGAACATGGTTGGTAGGAGGAGGGCACCGTGGCTGGGGCCACCTCGACAAGCAGAGGCAGGATGGGAGTGGGGCAGGGCAGAGGGAGTGGGGCTGGGGGGGCTGTGGCAGGGGAGTTGTGGGAGCAGGGGAGAGGGGGCAGGAGGGGACAGAAGGCTGGAGGATGGGTCAGGTGCAGGGGGGTCTTGTCCACTTCACCTCCTTGTGTCACGTTGAACGTGGGCTGAAAGGTGGGCAAGGCCAAGTGGAGCACTTTGTAGCCCAGACTTAGGGGCTGTGATCTGATTTGCAGACCATGGGCAGCCATGGAGTGTTGAGGGTGAAGGGAGCAGCCTGCCCAGTTGTGGCAGGGGAAATTGAGAGGAAGGCCAGAGGCAGGCTGAGGGCCGCTTCGGCACCTTCTGTAGGACACGGCTGGAGCTCGGCAGGGCAGCAGACAGGCCCGTGAATTGATGACAAGCTATGTGACGAGCCGCCTCGGACTGTGCCTGGCCTGGGCCGCCTCACTCCCCCGTGCCCCGAGAGCTCTTCCCAAGGCTGCTCAGTGTCCTGGGACTTGACTGGAGTTGTGGGAGACCCAGAGCCAGCAAAGCCAGGGAGGACAGGAAACAATTTCCCTGACACCCCTCTTGTGCATAGCTGGGCATCCTTCTTCCTCTCTGCTTCCTGCCCCTCTTCCCTGCCAGGTGCCCCTGCTGACCTGTGCCCCCACTGAGAGGCCGAGAGCCGCGCTCTCCCCAGGACCCAAAAGCAGGGCCTTCCACACATCCCAGAGACCACCTCGGGGAATTCCGCCCCAGGTCCGCGCTTTCTCCTCCCAGCCCCACACGACAAGACCCTGCAGACACTCCCCCCATGTGTGTCCTTGGCACATGTCAGAGGAAACCTGGGGGCATGGCCCTCCGAAGGGTTTCTCCAGGGCAGTGAGCAAACTGGGACGTATTTCCTATCCGGAGCCCCTGAGCAAGCCAGCGCCGGGCGGCTTGCTTTCATGTTGCACGTTCATTTATTCAGCAGATACTGCTCAGCACTTGCTAGTGGTGGAAACATTTGGTGGATAAAAGAGAGATGGTTGGAGCAACAGCCTCCCACAGGCAGGGGGGATGCAGGACTTCAGGGCAGGCAAGGGGCTGGGTCAGAGGGAGCAGGGGGAGGTCTCAGTGCAAATGTAGTTGAGAACCCAGGTCTACGGAGCCAATAGACAGGTGTGGGACACATGCGGCCACTGCCAGTTCCCCTGTTCCGTGGCCACGAGCTTTGTGGCTTCAGTGCAGAGAGAAAAGGGTCCCAGGAATACAGTACAAGCACCACCTGGGAAACGAGTGGTCCCAGTGAGAGGAGGCAACCAGTGGACACGGGTGGCCCTGGAAGGGGAGTGGGGGACCGTAACAGGCAGCAGCAAACACAGCTCACACAGCAAGCACCCATCACTCCCTCTGCCACACCAGGAAGCTGAGGAAACTCTCAGGGACCCAAGCAGAGCAGAGGAGGGGATGCTCCGCAGAGGGACACGTGGTCTGGGGGCCTCGGGGGTCTCTGTGCCCTCCACCTGCCACCTGCAGGATACAGCCTGCCCCAACTGGACGGGCAGCCTGGGTGGAAGAGCGCCCCTCAGTGCTTAGTTACTGGGACACCAAGGAGCCTGTCAAGTGCCAGGATGCAGGCATGTGGGCATTGAGCAGGGGAAATAGCTGTGAGGACACAGCCTGGGGAAGGCACTGAGTATGCGTGTGGGGGAGGTGCTGGGCATGCCTGTATCAGGAGGTGCTGGGTGTGTTGGGGGGGGAGGTGCTGGGCATGCCTGTGTCAGGAGGTGCTGGGTGTGTGTGGGGGGCGGGTACTGGGCATGCCTGTGTCAGGAGGTGCTGGGTGTGTGTGTGTGTGGGAAGGCACTGAGTATGTGTGTGTGTGAGGTGCTGGGCATGCCTGTATCAGGAGGTGCTGGGTATGTGTGTGGGGGGGGAGGTGCTGGGTGTGTGTGTGTGTGGTGCTGGGCATGCCTGTGTCAGGAGGTGCTGGGTATGTGTGTGGGGGGGAGGTGCTGGGTGTGTGTGTGTGGGGGGGGTACTGGGCATGCCTGTATCAGGAGGTGCTGGGTGTATGTGTGTGTGTGTGTGTGTGAGGTGCTGGGCATGCCTGTGTCAGGAGGTGCTGGGTGTGTGTGGGGGGGAGGTGCTGTGTGTATGTGTGTGTGTGGTGCTGGGTATGCCTGTATCAGGAGGTGCTGGGTGTGTGTGTGGGGGGAGGTGCTGTGTGTGTGTGTGTGTGTGTGTGTGTGGTGCTGGGCATGCCTGTGTCAGGAGGTATTGGGTGTGTGTGTGTGTGTGAGGTGCTGGGCATGCCTGTGTCAGGAGGTGTTGGGTGTGTGTGTGTGTGAGGTGCTGGGCATGCCTGTGTCAGGAGGTGTTGGGTGTGTGTGTGTGTGTGGTGTGTGAGGTGCTGGGCATGCCTGTATCAGGAGGTGCTGGGTGTGTGTGTGTGTGTGTGTGTGTGAGAGAGGTGCTGGGCATGCCTGTGTCAGGAGGTGTTGGGTGTGTGGGGGGGGAGGTGCTGGGCATGCCTGTGTCAGGAGGTGCTGGGGGGGGGAGGTGCTGTGTGTGTGTGTGTGTGTGTGTGTGTGTGTGTGAGGTGCTGGGCATGCCTGTGTCAGGAGGTGCTGGGTATGTGTGTGGGGGGGGGGGAGGTGCTGGGTGTGTGTGTGTGTGTGTGTGTGGTGCTGGGCATGCCTGTATCAGGAGGTGCTGGGTGTGTGTGTGTGTGTGTGTGTGGTGCTGGGCATGCCTGTGTCAGGAGGTGCTTGGGTGTGTGTGTGTCGGAGGTGCTGGGCATGGCTGTGTCAGGAGGCGCTGGGTGTGTGTGTGTGTGGGAGGTGCTGGGTGTGTGTGTGTGTGTGTGTGTGGTGCTGGGCATGCCTGTATCAGGAGGTGCTGGGTGTGTGTGTGTGGAGGGGAGGTGCTGGGCATGCCTGTGTCAGGAGGTGCTGGGTGTGTGTGTGTGTGTGTGTGAGGTGCTGGGCATGCCTGTGTCAGGAGGTGCTGGGTGTGTGTGTGTGTGTGAGGTGCTGGGCATGCCTGTGTCAGGAGGTGCTGGGTATGTATGTGTGTGTGTGAGGTGCTGGGCATGCCTGTGTCAGGAGGTGCGGGGTGTGTGTGTGGGGGAGGTGTTGGGTGTGTATGGGGGGGAGGTGCGTGTGTGTGGGAGGTACTGGGTGTATGTGTGGGAGGTGCTGGGTGTGTGTGTGGGAGGCACTGAGTATGTGTGTCTGGGAGGTGTTGGGTATGTGTGTGTGGGAGGTGCTGGGTGTGTGTGTGTGGGAGATGCTGGGTGTGTGGGGGGGGAAATGCTGGGTGTGTGGGGGGGGAGATGCTGGGTGTGTGTGCAGGGGAGGTGCTGGGTGTGTGTGGGAGGCGTTGGGTATGTGTGTGTGGGAGGTGCTGGATGTGTGTGTGGCAGGCACTGGGTGTGTGTGTGTTTGTGGGAGGTGTTGGGTATGTGTGTGTGGGAGGTGCTGGGTGTGTGTGGGGGGGAGGCGCTGGGTGTGTGTTTGTGGGAGGTGTTGGGTCTATGTGTGTGTGTGGGAGGCACTGAGTATGTGTGTGTGGGAGGCATTGGGTATGTGTGTGGGGGAGATGCTGGGTGTGTGTGGGGGAGACACTGGGTGTGTGTGGGGGGGAGGCGTTGGGTATGTGTGTGTGGGAGGTGCTGGGTGTGTGTCGGGGGAGGCGCTGGGTGTGTGTGTGTGGGAGGTGTTGGGTATATGTGTGTGTGTGGGAGGCACTGAGTATGTGTGTGTGGGAGGCGTTGGGTATGTGTGTGGGGGAGGTGCTGGGTGTGTGTGTGGGAGGCACTAGGTGTGTGTGTGTGTGGGAGGCATTGGGTATGTGTGTGGGGGAGGTGCTGGGTGTGTGTGTGTGGGAGGCGCTGGGTGTGTGTGTGTGGGAGGTGCTGGGTGTGTATGGGAGGCACTGGGTGTGTGTGTGGGAGGCACTGAGTCTGTGTGTGTGGGAGGTGCTGGGTGTGTGTGTGGGAGGTGCTGGGTGTGTGTGGGGGAGGTGCTGGATGTGTGTGGGGGGAGGCGCTGGGTGTGTGTGTGTGGGAGGTGCTGGGTATGAGTGTAGGATGGTGCTGGTTCTCATCTGTGGGAGGGACTGGGCAATGGGGGAATCTGAAGTCTTTGATGCTTTATGAAGAGTTTATAGGGCCAACATCCCAAGGAAATCAGCAGCTTATACATGGAGAGCTCCTTTTAAGAAAGAATGAGAATTTACAAAGAACTCAAACAGATTTACAAGAAAAAAAATAAACAAGCATATTGAAAAATGGGCAAAGGATATGAACAGACACTTTACAAAAGAAGACATACATGAGGCCAACAAACATGAAAAAATGCTCATCATCACTGGTCATCAGAGAAATGCAAATCAAAACTACATTGAGATGCCATCTCATGCCAGTTAGAATGGCGATCATTAAAAAATCCGAAGACAACAGATGCTGGAGAGGATGTGGAGAAATAGGAACACTTTTACACTGTTGGTGGGAGCGTAAATTAGTTCAACCATTGTGGAAGACAGTGTGGCGATTCCTCAAGGCCTTAGAAATAGAAATTCCATTTGACCCAGCAATCCCATTACTGGGTATATATCCAAAGGACTATAAATCGTTCTACTGTAAGGACACATGCACACGAATGTTCATTGCAGTACTGTTTACAATAGCAAAGACCTGAAACCAACCCAAATGCCCATCGATGATAGACTGGATTGGGAAAATGTGACACATATACACCATGGAATATTATGCAGCAATCAAAAATGATGAGTTCGTGTTGTTTATAAAGACATGGATGAATCTGGAGAACAGCATTCTCAGCAAACTGACACAAGAACAGAAAATGAAATACCGCATATTCTCACTCATAGGCGGGTGATGAACAATGAGAACACATGGACACAGGGAAGGGAGTACTACACACTGGGGTCTATTGTACCTATGCAGCTATCTGGCATGTTCTGCACATGTACCCCAAAACCTGAAATGCAATTAAAAAAAAAAAAAAAAGAA